GTAGAGATGATGGACCATTGATGATAGTTTAGCTTTACTGTTGGTAAAAATGTAATTTCAAGAAATTCCTGTGCTATTCTAATATCAAATTCTTTGGCATATAACCGTATCACCAGACTCAAGGTTGTTAAATTATTCTTTATCTGCTTTTTTTTAAGGTCATGTAAAATAGCCTTTGCCTTCCCTAAATTAGGTCTTCTGGGGTGTAAACAAGATGCCAAATATGTATTATACAAATGTATAGAAGGTACAACACCATCGTCTATTGCTTCCTGCCATAATTTTTCAGATAGTTTAACATCTCTAAGTCTGCTAAATATTGATAATAGATGTGTATAGTCTGTTACATCAGGTTTATGACCCAAGTATTTCATTTGTCTAAAAATTGAAAATAGTTGCTCCGTTAAATGTTGTATTTCTGTTTTATTAGGCGGAAATGTTTTAAAATTAATGGATTGTAATAATAAAGAAAAATGTTGGGTTGTTAGTAGATGAAGCTTTTCAGAAGCTAGCAACTGTTGATAAATTAACCAAGTTTCATCTTTTCTATCATTTTGAATGGATGAAAGTAGAGGTAGTAAAGTTTTGGGTGCAACAAATTCTAAAGGTTTATCAACATAATATTCACGAGGAAATAAGGGTAGAAAAGAACGATTAGGCAAATTTGAAATTGAATGAAAATGATGAATTGTTTTGTTGAAAGAAAATTTGAATGGATTTTTGTAAAAAGCTTTTTTTATCATTTTTTTTTTAATATAAAAATGTTACGTATTGTGGCTGAATAAAAATTAATATCTTTATTTTTTGAGAAAAAAAAAAAAAATGAAGACAATATGTTTGGTGGATAAAATGAGATGGGATTTTCCTGGCAATATGAATCCGCACGCTTTTGCTTTTGGAGATGTTGATAATGATAAAGTATGAAAAATCATGATTACAATGAATTTATTAAACAAGTGAAAATTTTTGGAAATTTTTTTTGATTTTCCAAGATTTTCTTTAGGACAATGAATTTGTTATTGGAAATTTAAATGGTAAATTGGC